GATTCCAACAGGACCAAGGCTGGGGTGGGCTATGCATGGCTCAGGCTTTCTCATGCGCTTTTGCTATCTGCCTTGCAGGGCAATCTTGTCAACTTGGAGAAAATACAGAAGGTAAGCAGCTGTGTCCTGCACCTCCAGGAGGGTGGGAAGGCAGAACTCAGAAACCTCCTGGGCTGGACGCTCCTTGGCTTCACCCTCTGCATTGCGCCTTATTAGGAGGGTTTTGTACACACAGAAAGATGAAAACCATCGCGATGGAGTGTGTGCACAGGAGACTGGACACGTGTACAACTACCTGGACATGGGGCAGTTTCGGCCCACATCCGAGAACAGCTTAGGGCTCGGGTGGGATTGAGAGGATGAGGGGACAATTAAGGGAAAGCCCTGCAGACCAGCCCTGAACTCTTCCTTCCTTGCTCATGGCCCTCACCTCATGTCCAGTGCCAGCCCTCTCAGAAGCCGTCTGTTCCTCTTGCCCCAGGAAGCCAAAATTCTTCAGAAGATGCAGCTGTTCCAGGTGGCAGCGAGGAAATATAATTTTCAATGTGAGGAAAATGTTGAGGTCTGGTTCCACTCGAGGGAGTGGCTCAGTGAGAACGAGAGGTGAGGCCAGGCAGGACTCGTGTGAAAGCCCAGGGTTGGGGAGGCTCTCCCTGGCTGCCCGCTGCGGAGAGCCTGTGGCCACGGCTCCAGTGTCAGCCACAGACCCTGCTGCAAGGCGGCTGCAGAGGCAGTGGGACTCGGGCTGCTGGGCGGGCACTGGGAGGGAGACTCCAGGTGGGGCTCCCAGTGGACTCACAGATTCCTCTCTGTCCCACAGCTACAACCTGTCCTGCCTTCTGGACCCCTGAGCCCAGTGGGACAGCAGCACACTCAGGGGCAGGAAGACTTCGTCCTAAGTCTCAGGAACCCCTGAAGGCCCACACTGTTAGGGCCAGACAGGCTCGGCACTCAGTGAAGTCTGAGCTGTGAGCTCCTGACAGAACTGGCTGTCATGTCCAGCTCCACTCTGACCAGCCTGGGATCAGGGTGGGGCATCTCACCACTGTTCCTCAAGCCCCATTGTCACCAATTTGATTTGCCCTTCCAATGCCTTTTTCTTTTTCACATATCTTTAACTACTCTGCACTTCTCTTGTTTCTCAGAGTTTTTATTCAAATTAATATAGATAAGGTATACATTGTGTTTTCCTCTTTTTATGATTTTTTTCACTTTAGGCCATTTAGTCTATAGGTCACTATAGGTCAACGGAGATCACTGCTTATGAAAGTATTTCATTTTCTGCTATTAAATTTGAGAGTCTATCTGTCCATCCATCTATACCACAGTCATGAAATATCTTTACAGCTTGCGGCCATTATACACCCTGCATTGAGGCCAGGTGTGTGAACTTCCTGCTCTTTTCCTTCAGGAGATTTACTGGACCACATGTGGTGTCTGTCTGTCTCTCTCTTCTTCGCTCTCTTGCATGGGTTTTAGAATCCAGCCTCCAGCCTTCTAGCGCTATAGTGTCATCCTCTCTTTGCATTGTTCCCATATTCATGATGTATCAGCACTGCAGATCAGTTAAATCCTCAAAGAACACAGCCCAAGCTTCCACTGCCACAGGATAACACCAGGGAAAAGGCATAAATGTTAATTGTGTATGCTAGGTCAAACCCTTCTCCCACTGTTTCAAAATTGGACAGAAGAAAATATTTCCAAATTTACTTTAGAGGCACACTGTACCCTGGTACCTAAGCCAGACAAGGGTGTACAGGAAAATTATAAGCCAGCATCTGTTATAAACCTATATACAGAAATTCTAAACACAATTCTAGCAAGCTAAGCTTGGCAGTATATTGCCAGGACCATTTACATGATCATGTGGAGTTTATCCCTGTGATACCATGATGTCTGGACACATTCAAGTCAGGAAATGTGGTGCCACACAATAACAGAATAAAGGGGCAAACACCTAAATGGTCACCTCACCTGATGCAGAAGGAATGCATGCTAACATTATGGATCTTTTTTTGATAGATGTTCTAAGCAAATCGAGTATAGGAATGTAAGTCATGCTCAGTGGTGAAAAGCTGAAAACCTTTAAGGTGGGAAACAAGACAAAGATAGTCACCCTCAATGCTGCTTCTCAACATGGTGCTAGAAATGGGAGGCAGAGCAATGAAGCAAGGAAAAGAAATAAAAGCCATCCAGATAGAAAAATGCAGAAGAGTTGTCACTCTTTAGACAGGATCAAAAGCTGTTAAAACAAATGCAGTGAAGTTACAGGACACAAACCAACATACAAAGTCACACAGGCAATGCACAAAGGAAATCAAGAGAACAATCTCTTTAATGAGCCACAAAAAAGAAAATAAAAACTTAGTCCTCTCTTTTTGAAAAGGACTTGTCCTGATTTCAGAAGCCACTGTGGCTTCAGGATGTGGACAGACCTCTCAGTGCCATGCACAGGACAACCACAGTGGCAGGAAGGAAAGAAAGAAAGAAGGGAGGGAGGAAGGAAGGAAGGAAGGAAAGAAATACAGGAGTCTTTCCCTACGCACTTGACTTCCTGGCACAGGGCTTGGTCCATTTTCTGGCCCCTTCCCAGGGTGTTGGGGTCACCAGAATATTTACATCACTGAGCCAAATGCATGCTGGACTCAAGCCCCCCCTTTCTGTCCAAGCCCTGAAAGTCCAGTATAAATGCATGCCTGGCCTTGGTAGGAGGTTCTCCACCCTTACAAGCTAGTGGGAAGTTTACACTGTTTTATTTGTTCTTTTCAAAATTCCAGGCCTTGGACAATGAGCAGGGGCACATGGATGGACAGGATAAAGAAGGACCATGACAGCAGTAATTTCCGGGGTGGCCCTCCTCCAATGTTGATATCAGAAGTAGTACTGCTGGGGCCCCTTGTCTATTCCTATGGACTGCCTTGGCCTCCCTGACCCCACTGAGGCGCATGTGTGTGCTGCTTTGGGCCGATCCAGGCTCACCGGACCCCAAACCTCACCCGGTTTTAGCACTTTGTTGTCACTGAGACACATTCCCTGACACTCACTGAAAAGAGCACAGATTTGTGGCCGACAGGGTCCCCTGTGTGGGTCCCCGGCACAGGATTCTTCAGCAGGGTGCCCGGGGCACCAGGTCTCCAGGGTGTCTACACGCACCAGCTCCCTGGCACATGCGCTCTCCACGCGCCAATTTGGACATGCAGAGGACCCCAGCCCAGCGACTTCCCTCCCTTCAGAGGTGCCTAGCCCTGCCCTATCCCCAAGCCCTGCTCTCAGCCACCGGGCCCAGGAGCCTGCGGTTTCCGAGGGCGAGCTCAGCAGGCGGTCCCCGGGAGCGGGGCCAGGACATGACCACAGGCAGAGGACGGCGCGCCAGGCCACACTGGACAAGGCGAGGGGCACTGTCATCAGGGCGCCCAGGGCCGGAGCGCCCCATCGTCCCCGCTGCTCGGGGCTCTGCGGCACGGTGCGGACCTCCGCCAGTCCCCGGTGTAGCACAGCCAGGGAGTGGTCCGGACACTGCAGCGCTCCCTGCCACCCCCCCACCCCGCCCCCACCCCGCTGGTCCCCGTGCGCCACTGCATCCTCCTGCGCCCAGCTCCGGGCTCGCCGGTGTCCACACTCCCGTAGCCGCGTGTCTGAACTGGGCTCCTCCACAGACGGGACCCGGCATCTCCTGGGGCCCGGCCAGGCCGGCCTGGAGTCCACCCACGAGGCGTCGGTCCCCGAACTTCAGGGACCGCGGTCACCGAGTAGGCTTGGCGTCCCCCGCTGGCCGCGCAGGCTCGCTGTGTGCTCTCCCCATTGGCACCCAGGGCAGCGCGGAGCTTCCGGGGCACAGAAGCCCAGCAGAGGCGGCCGCCCTACAAGCCGCCTCCCGGACCAGGACGACGGGGACACTGTCACGCAGAGGACCGCGTGGAACCCAGGAGAGCAGCTCAGAGCGCGGGCTACCGGGAAGAGAGGAAGAGAGGATCAATTTCCAACAAAGCTACCAACAGCTGCCATGTGCTAGATACCATGATGTTCTACAGTAGGATGTCGAGCAAGTTCAGTACATGATGTGATGTTCACACATGACAGTGTTAAATATGCGAGCATATGCATACTCTTAGAATCTGAGGATATTGGTCTATCATTATCCTTTAGCTAGCAGGAACCTGAACTGTTTAAGTTTTTAAAACTCAAGCTGAACCTTGCAGGGTTTTCCACTTTTATCCTTGTAACAATATTTTCTCCCACACTACATAAAGATTTGCGTTTTAGAAAAATCAGTACCCTGAATTTTCCTGGAGCGTGGTGAACCTTTGGGTTACACCTACATATGCTCCTTATCTGTGTGTACAGCTTCTTCATATTTTGACTCGTCTTTTTCTCTTCACAGGAGCATTACTATATTTCTAAGGTCAGTTCTATATTTCCAGTTTTCTGTGTCTTCCCCATCCCCATCACATTCTCATAACTGTCCCTTTTCTTTACACTGCAGATATTTCCTAATCTTGGTTTCCAAATGTGTGCCCTTTATGGCCTCCAATATGAATTTCTACTCTGCCTTTATTGTTTTGGTGTTATTTATCCTTAGATACATTTAAACACATCCTAGATTTATGCTCATTAATATAAGTCAATTTTGGTGAGAAGAAATCCGCTTCATGAGAACTTTCTTTCAATACCTGTACTTTGGCTAATGAGGCAGATCTTCAGATTTTTGTTTGCTTCTTGAAGTATCATCTAAACTTGATATCACTCACCCTTTTTAGGTATAGTCTTGTGAATTTTGACACATGTATGCAGCCCTTATACACCATCACAATACATATATTAAACATTCCAATTAGTCCTTACTAGATCCTGACCCTTTACCCTTAGCTCTAGTGACCACTATCTGATTTGACTTTACCATTTGTTTCTTCCAGAATATGATATAATTGGAATCGCATAAGATGCTACTTTTGAGTCTGAATTTCTCACATAGCACAATGCCATCATATTGCATATGTCAA